ATATTAAGACCGTTTACCATTTCCAGCAATGCGCCTTGTGTGCAGGAATGGTTTCACCTAGGTAGGGACAATGCTTGCACTTACGCAGGCCTCCGCCCTCAGTTAGCTTTTTGGTTGGTTGGTTGGTCCATATTTACACAATGTTGATATGGATCTTACACATCTTCGTTATGCTACACGTAACGCTGTTTATGCCGAATGACCCTTCCATATAGACATATTTACATCAAGAAAATATGACTGAGATGAGAGCATTCATTTCAAAGTGAAGACATGAATGCAATATTTAATATCAGTCACTAGTAGATTTGATCCCCAAAGTTAAATATAAAAGGAATGAATTTCCCAATATGACAAAGAGAACTGTATGAAACTAATATATCCATTTCACCTTCCTCTGAGGAACTACACTGGTCTACAGAAAGCTAAATTACATTTTGTTTGAATTAAACTGCTGCTACTACTGACTATATCAGGAAACATTTCTTTCTGTCTTACATGTGTATAAAACATGTTGAATTTGAGGAGACTAGGGCTCGATTTTGGGCTGTTACGCCATAGTAGTAGTAGTAGTAGTAACATTGAATTTGCTACTAGATATAGCATATATATCCTCATAATACACTTACAGCCATCTGGATGCTCTTCTGTTACAGGAGGATTCTCTGAGACACCCTTCTCCACATCAAGTGCCCGTTTAAGGATACTCTGTGTCCTTTCTCGTTCTTCTTCTGGAAGATGATACTTGTTCTTATCCAACCTCTTTAATTCCAGATTGGTAAGGATGCAGTCAAAGTCTGAAAATCAAAGAAAATGAAGTCTTCTCGGGCTATCAGCCGTGTTAGATGTTGATTAATCGCCGACGTTTCAAGGACCATCTCTGTCCTCATTTTCAAGGCTGTTGTTGACTGTGGCTCGTAGCGCGAACGGTTTTAAATGTCCAGGACTCGTGCAGGTCTCCGCATTTAAAACAGTTCACACTACGAGCCACAGTCAACAACAGCCTTGAAAATGAGGACAGAGATGGTCCTTGAAACGTCGGCGATTAATCAACATCTAACATGGCTGATAGCCCAAGAAGACTTTATTAATGAAAGCCGCCGTTAAAGCTTCACATAATATAAAGAAAATAAAGTTACAGCATCATGATAAATAAACCAAATTACTACCAGTACTATTAACATAATGTGCAACCAAATTTTAAGACTGTCTTCAAAACATCCCTATGGGCTCAAATGAATGCTTTATAACCTATCAATCAATGTCTCCCTCTTGAATTTCAAGAAATTTCTTTCTGCTCACATATATTTGGACTTGGGCAGCACACATGTAGAAAGTTGACTTCAGAGTGTCAGTTTCATACTAAATTACTAAATACATGCTTTTTAAAGTATCTACACTTTGTGACAAGAACTGTGAAGATACAAAGACAACTTGATATATTCATAAGTTCTAAGACATTAAACATATATTAACATAAGCAGACCTAATAAGATATCAGCTACAATGTGCAAAATTACAACAAAGTAACATATTTTAAACTGTTGCCTTCAATGTACAAATTAATTAAATAATGTTTTCAAATGTCAAAGCGAAGTTGTACTAAAACTCATAACAATATGATCAATAAATCTGTAAGACTGACATGACAAGATTGTATACTGTATACCAATTAAGCAAGTTTTGTTGTATGTATATCTATCTATCTATCTATCATGAAACATTACTCTAAATCTGCATTATTCTGAAAGTATCAGACCTGTGGCATCGTAGAAATCTGGAATATACACATCAGTTGCTCTGTTGTCTTTCTTTTCTTGAGACAACCATCGTATCCGAATACGAGGACTGCTTTTGTAGATATTCTGCATTGCCTGACAAATGTAAAAGCTGCCTTCTGCATTGCGAACCGCAAGAAATTCATTCCTGTTACAAAAAGAATATCATTAACACATCTGAAAATAACATCCCAAAATTTAATTTCACATTCCTTCAAACATTAAAGAGAAAAGACAACCTACTTCCTATCTACTCACATTATAACTTTTCTACTACATATTATAATGCTTCACTGGAAGAAGAAAGTTTATCCAGGACAAAGGTGGTATGAATTTAGATCTGCTGAAAATTTTGTTCTGAAATTTCTTCATTCTTTAAGAAATACAGTACAATTATTAAGTAACCTATGTGTCCTGAAACACACCAGCAGTTTCCAAGTCCCAAGACTATTTATAAAAATGCATCAATAAAATTTATACTCAACAAACAATTACTCATAACTCTCCAGGAACTCTAGTGCCAAACTTCACTATTACTATTACAATGAACTATTTAGAAACATGCATCAAACATATATTTACCCTTTGGCAAATGATACAGTTTCTTAACATCTCATTTGAATACATATTTAATAAACCCCTCTAACTTACTTGTAAAAAACTATTAGTTTGTCATCAGGGGACTTCATTAGTGTCTTTAGTTTCGCGATATATGTCAACTCTGGCAGTGGGCTCTGATAAGGCTGAGTTTGGGTGCGGACACGCTTAGATTTGCGATCATCCTGTTCTGAAGCCAGTGTCTTTGCTACTTCTGCTGGTGGCTAAATGAGACAAATTACAAGCACTATTAGTTATATGGACTTGGGTCATGGAATAACATTCCAATCAACACATAATCAAACTTACACTACTCATAAATCAAAAATGGAAAATGTAATTAAATTCTATGGCTTATTATCTACTTGTTGGTATTAATACTACCAACCAGGCAATACATGGGCCTGCAGGTGCTCCAGTCAATTAAAACATGGGGCAAGACGTCCTACACTCAAACTTCTGACTCATTCAAGTAGTGCTCTATGTGAATGCAGGCTTTTTATTCAGTGAACACAATAATTAAGTGCGCCTTTCCATTCTCCACCCAAATCCCGATGTCCAGTGTCTCACCGGATGCACTGCCTGAGACCCCCCCCCTCTCTCACCGTCTCTCTCATACACCCCATGACATGCCCATGCTCTCCTATTGGTCCCCACCCACACCTGATTTGACACCAGCTCCCATTGGCTAGGATTTGGCTACACCATTCACTGTCCGGTCCCTATAAACCTAGCACTTTCTGCTCAACTGAAAAATTCATTGCCCTGATGATGGAGCAGTATGACGTCTGAAACTTTGGTGGACATCTACCATACTATATGGCACAACAACCCAGAAGACAGCAACCTGCAATAATTAAGTTAATAATATATGTGAGTGATTAGCCTCACACTCCAGCCACTTTACCACAGAGGAAAGAAATCAGTACATACCAGTTAAGAGACTGGGCAGACCAAAGAGCCAGTCTGGACATTCACAAAATAAACAATTATCTGAAATATTAACTGGAATTTTGTAAGTCTGTAATGGTAACATGATAGCCTCAAACTACACAACTGCTCTCATTCAGTTTAAGTTTTAAGACCTCTTTCTCATCAAACAAATCATTAATTCTTGCATGTCTTTAGAAATGCAAGTATAATTAGGCACCATGATTGCAATTACTGTGAAGCAATGCTTATTCCTTCAAAAATTCCTCAAGTTGAACATTTTTGTTCTTCTAAAATATGAGGTAAGCCAAATCTAAACTTAAAAAGGACATGATTATTTAATTTAAATCTGACATGAACATTCTTCTAAATACCAACTGCAATTTTTGACAAGATATTTTTCGCTATCACTACAAAAAGATGGGTGCCACTATGTTATGTTATGTTATGTTGATACATCAGCTTTAGTGGATGAATGTATAGTCCCTTACCATTACCACATTATCAAAAAGAGAAAAAAATGTACTATCATGTGAAATTCAAAAGCATTACCACACTTCATCACATAGTTGAGATCTGGGGGCCAAATATAAATGTTAAGATGACTGAACACAAAATTCAATAAATGTTATACAGTGAAACCTCGATGCATCGTTTTCCGCGGGGGTGGGAAATAAAAACGATGAATGCGGGAAAACGATAGATGCGGGAAAGCATTAAAAATTTAAAAAAAACAATGTTTCTCTTTCAAAGTTACTTCTTTTTACCAAAAAAGTCTTTAATGGACAACTGGTTTGTCGAAACTTTACGTTTTAGACCAAACAGAGCACTTTCCACGTTCAAAATGTTTTCCTCGTCACGTTCACTAATATTAAGCGCATAAAAGAACAACTTCACTTTCGCCAATGCAGCGTGCGCTTCGGCAAAACTCGGCAAAGCTTCGGGCTCGCATTCGTCGTCTCCCTCTTCCTCACCACTCCAACCCCCTTTGCGGACAATAACAGGAAGAATGGAAATACTATTACTGCCGAAC